AGAAAAGGATATGGAATAGTCAAGATAATAATGAATAATATTCTTTGAGATTCTGAAAAAACTAACAAAAAGCTGTGGAAAATGAAAAGTAGTTATCAAAGAGACATGATAAAAATGCACTTATGGAATTATAAAAAAAACCAAGGGATAATTATGGAGCTAAGGGGAAAAACCAAATTCCTCTGCTAAGCAAAAAATGCCAAGTGAGGATAGAAAGCTTTAATAAAATATGCAAAAATCACAGGTACTGTATTTCATGAGCAAAGGTTAAACATAAATGGAATTCATAAGATGAAAAACAGTGTGAAGAGATAATACTGAAAAAGGGTGGAACATTTTGCAAAATGTAATGGAGCTATAAAACTTTTGAAGATTCAATAAAATGAAAATTTGATGTTTACTCAGCTGAACTGAGTTTAGCAGCATCCAGTAAGGGAGAAGATAGAGAAAGGGATTGGTTTGTCACTTTTTACACATGTCCTCTGACCTTGAAAGAAATATGAATTAGTGTTGCAATCTTGTCAGAGTTTCTGGGAATGTTTCCTATCAGACAAACCCAAGTGAAACACAGGAATCAATGAAACAATTGAGAAAACAAGGACTCCTTCACAGTGGAAGAATCAGAAAGCTGTAACATGTGTGGTGGGTCACTTTTTCTTCTTAAAGACCAATGCAGGGGCAAAGCAAAAATATTGCCTCTCATTTTTTAGTATAGCTTCAGAGCCTTAACCATGTACCAACCCTACAAATTCTTTTTGAACTCTTGTAGGAGGCTCTGGAAAGACAGTCTATGAGTAAGACAAATTTAGTTCCTGCTTTTAGCATGGTTGTTAGCCCTATGGAGGAAGAGGCCATTCCAAATGGTTTGAGGTCGGTTGTGATAGAAGAGACACAAGCAAGATACTGAGGAAGAAGAGAAGGCTCTGGGCGCAGTGGGCCAGACAGCACTTCCTAGAAGGATGATAGCTATGCTTAGACTCGAGTAGGGAATTCAGAAGTCAGGAAGATGCTTGTTTCACAGATTATGTCACCCATGTACCTAACATCCGAATAGAGTATAGGCCTGGCACACAATAAACTCTTGAAACAGTGGATTTGAATATTTTCTGTCCATTATAGAAATAATCAGACTGTACCTTTCTTTTGATTTCTTCTATAAAATAAGCACATCACATAATGTGTCCATATATATGACTGGGAGAACATAACATTAATGGGTAATTGCCTATAACTGTTTAAAAGATGTATAAAATTCTAATGTTTCTCATCGCAGTTCACTTTTCTTACAAAGACTGTAGAGTATTTCCTATGCTGGGAACTCTCTTTATATAAGGAAATTTTTGCAAAAGGAAATTGGAATAATGGGTTTTAAAGGCACATGGAAGCCACTTGGCTGAGCCCTCCCCTCTCGAGGCATCTGTTTAAGGTAACACTGGTATTTGTTGATGGCAATGCAGGAGGAGTGCAAAAGCAAGTGTGTGGAACTGATTTCCTTTGCGCCACATTGACATCACAGATTTTTTTCAAAGCTCTCAACTTTGAGGTGAAATTGTGTTAATATTGTTACTTGATGTTAATTCCAATGATTGCCTTTGAAGTTTGTGGGAGCTTCATTTTTTGTTGTTATTTTCTGTACTACAGTTCTGTCTGAAAGTGTGTGCTTCAAACTTCACTTGAACCAGTTTACTCTACATTGAGGACAAAGAAAGTATATAATGCTGCTAAGCATTTAATGTCTTTCATTTATTATTTGTAGTAGATGAGCATGTTTCAAACGTCATTTGCCCTCTGTTAGGTTGAGGTCTCATTCAAACACAGTACACTTGGCAGGAATTTTGAAGGAAATATTAGCTAAAGACTTAGAAAACTGTTGTGTAGTTAATAATCTAAATAATGCTTTCTTGATAATGCTCACATGACCACCACTGAGGCAATGTTCTTTACTGGCTATTAGTGCTATGCTGATGTTCACACGCCCTGTTTAAAGCAATATAATTAGCAAACCCTTTAAAATAAAACTGCTAAATTGTTCTTCTGGGCTGTTCTTCCTCCTGCTTACTGTTCTCTCAGTTTTCTGAGCTTTTTTTAAAAGGTGCTAATATTGACTCCTTTGCCCACCTGCCGGCTTTCTTATTCTTAGACATCACAGAAAATATGGTGAATGGTTGTCTTTGTCTCCGCATGGGAGCCATCTAAGTCTCTTGGTTCTCTCTGGGAGGATCCATGGAATAAGAATTTTTTCTACAGCATCCTTTTCCTATTCAGTTCTTCACCCTCCCCACTGTACATCCTGAAAAGCCCACTTTTACCTTATCACCCAGATATACCAGGGCGATAAGGTAAAATCGCCCTGGTATCTGGGCAGTAAGCCTGCTTCTCATTGTAATGGTCTCACAACTCTGGCTTTAATACTCTCATTTTTTTCTGCATGGTTATAACTATAGCTGATCCTGGGGATTACTGACTTGGAGCAAGTTTCAGTGGCTCCCTGACCAATCCCATGATTCCAATATGAGGTGGAAGCAATTTATTTTCTGAAGGCTGATGCCTTGAGAAACACTCACTTCTCACTATTTCTTTTTTCTTTTGTTCAGTGTTATTTGTTACCTACAGCTGGTTGACTTTTGGTTGTTAAGCTTGCCAGCTGTTTCAGAATTCTATGGTGTGTGCATTTCTCTTAAAAATATTGGCATAATCCGGTCTTCTCTGGAGAAGACAAGAAACATCCTCTAGTTTTGCAAGTGACAGGTAAATTGATGGGTAAACTGGTTACTCCATTTTGATCTGATTTTGTTAGTTGGTTGGTTTGCTGTACTTACTCTAGAAAACAGAAATTGTCTCTCATGTTAGACCTTTGGTCATGTTTTTGGTCTTTTAAATCATATGACATATACAGTATATGCAAGGTCATTCAGTGACAGTTCCCCTAAATTTGTTTTAAATTAGAAGACAAGTAATACAAAAACCCAAACTTCTGTCCATTAAAATTATGAGGAATCTCCATGATTATTATGATTAACCTAATAGTTGTACTATCCTTGTACTGTAGTGTACATTCCCACCAACAACATAAAAGGATTATTTGCCCACCCCACAAAAGCCTCACCACATTTGTTATTATTTTAGTTCTTAATGATGGCCATTCTTTCCAGAATAAGATGGAATCTCATTGTTATGGTTTGTGTCTAGTTGTCCCCCCAAAGCCTCATGTAGTCACTGGGGAAGCTTCTAGAGTTTGTAATTAATTCATAATCTGATGCTGGGATTATGGATGTGAGTGCTATGTCTGCCCTGGGGCAGATAATCTGTATACAAATGTAAGAAAGACAGAGAGGCTTACTAGCAGCCACAGCTGCTGCTCCTCCCTTTGCTTTTTGCTGCTTTCTGCCACCATGAATGGCTGTCCTCTGTCATGTGCCACTCTGCCTTGGAGCCAGCTAAGTATGGACTGAAACATCCATTACCTGTGAGCCAAATAAAACTTTCCTTCATTAATGTCAGGTATTGGATATTTTGTCCCAGCAATGACAGAAAAGTAACCAAGACAATTTTTTTTTTTTTTTTTTTTTGTGGAACTGGGGATTGAACTCAGTTCCCTGAACTTGCTAGGCAAGCGCTTATTCCACTGAGCCATCTCCCTGGTGTTGTTTTAATTTGCATTTCTCTAATGGCCAGCAGTGTTGAACATTTTTTCATGTATTTATTGACAATGGTTGGGAGCAAGAAAGCTAAATTATGTTGGCCCTATATTGATCAACTGGCATTACTCTTTTGAACAGTCTGTTCTTGTTTCAATATGCATTTGGCATAAAGATTTTGAATACACTAGGAAGCTTAATGGGTTGAAAATTGATTTGTCATAAATAAAAGCTCATCTGAGTTTACGAAATGCATGCTCCTGTAAATCTATTGTAAAATGTAACAAAACAGCTGTATTGATGTGTATACATAGTAACAGAAAGAAGCAGAACTACCAGGGGACATGTAGTCCCACAAAGCAGTGCATCCAACAAAGAGAGACAAGTACATGGGGCTTGACAGGAAGCCATGGCAAAGTGAGAGAAATTTGTTGAAAGGTGGATTCCAGACAAAAGACCTGATGTTGTAGATTGTATGGTTAGACAACTAGAAATGATAAATTCATAGAAAAGAATCAGCACATCAAGTAATAAATAAAGGCTGGAGTTCAAAGAAAGAGTAGTGTAGGGGTAGGGCTGGAGGGCAGGAAGAAGAGGACACTCTCCTTTGAGAAGGGAGGGAAGAGCAATATCATGGCCTGAGAAGGAAAGTACATTAAGGGTAAGGGATGCTTGGGCAGGTTAGGTACCACCACCAGGTGAAGTAGAGAGAAACGTGTGCTTGGGCGTCAGGAGGGAGGTGCCAGCAGTGCTTGAGAGGACTCTTGATTTTCACAAGTCACGGATAGAAGAAGAGCTACAGAAAACGAAGGATGGGGAAAGCAGGAGGTCAAGACAGAAGGCGCTGATGATCTGTTTTAGACCTGGGGCCTTAAGGAAGGCAGGCATAATTGTCCAGAAAGGCCACAGGTGGGAGCATGGAACAGTGCTTGGAAATCAGGGATGGGATTTTTTTGTTTTGATAACTATGGAAAAATTCATTTTTAGAAAACTAAAATCTTGAATATAGTGAGTGCAAAAGGAGACTAGTCATTTTCAATAGTGTAAGGCAGTATTTTATCAATTTTCATTCTGTATATTACTATGGGAATTACTACTTCTGGGAACTCATGAATCCTTTGAAGTTAAATCACAGATATGTAGGACTTTAATCTATGACTTCATGAGGTAAAGAGTCTCTGCATGAGACAATTACAAAGATTTAATTTCTTTTTATCACTAATGTACACATTTGCACATGCAAGTCATATACTCATATGTGCACAAAATTTAAATGTAACTTCTGCTTGATTCAGGACCTAGCCAGGTGAAATCCTGAGAGTTTGCAAAGGTGTTAAGACAGAGTTTCTCTACTGATTTCAGGTATTTCAATGGCGTACCCACCAAGAAGAGGTGGCAAGATTGGAAATGGAAATTTCTGCCAGAAGAAGAGTAAAGGAAGAGGAGAAAGAGAAATTGTGGAGGAAGAAGGAATTGTTGAAAAGGGAGGAGAAGAAAAACCAAGTATGAAATCTTCTGTTGATGTGAATGCATGAATGGTCACTTAACTGTCTAATAGAGCTTTAACTCATCTTGGTATTTGGCACAGGATTTTCATAGGCAGTAAGGGGAACCTTCATGAGCCTAGTGGAGTCTCGCTTTAGTTTATCTGAACTTGAAAGATTTGCAGTCATTGTAGAAGCCTTTCTGTTGACCTGCCTGAGCATAGGTACCTGTGGTTTGAAGAGATGATGTAGGGGGAAAAAAGATGAAGGTCATGACTATCCTCAGGCTCTGATCTCAGGTGAGACCTGGAAAAGCTCAAAGGGTAATAGGGTATCATTTTGGTTGATGGCATAGTTAAAAATATTTTTATTGCTAGAATATCTTGTACATAGGATAGTGAAATTCACAGAAGGCCAAAAACCCTTCAAAGAGTTTACTACTTGATTTCTTGTTAGATGGTTTTATTTTGCCCTTACTCTATTGCATAAATATTTGTTTCACAATATTAAAAATATTTACCAAAAACATATTAACAACTTTGGAATGACTGCTGCTATACTCTATGGAATACAGAATGTACTTTAGTATTCATTTTAGCATTTTTGTTTCCACAACAAAACTTATGCAGTGTGCAGTAAAGTTACTTTTGTTAACATTTTTGTCAGATTTATGCATTGATTTAATAGAGTTGCTGCCTATAGAAATAATTCACAAAAATGCTATTAATTTGTGATCAATGCTCCTTGCAAAAAAAACAAATCAGCACACCCACGTGTTTCTACCAATAGCACAAAGAAGTACCCAGAAAATTTGCCTTTACTATTATTGGCAAAACTTTTAGAGCTTTCAATAACAAACAGCCCATTGTGGCCCACAAACAATAAATTCATCACAGCTGGCCTATACTGAATTGCATGATGCTTTCTTGAAGTGCTTTCTCTTACACCCCTAAGAATGACCGATACTTATTGTTGGTCAAGCATTTCAGTTTTGTGAATAAGGTTGTCATTTTGAACTATGTGACCAGTAAAATCTGTGAAGTCCTTGCCTAGAAGCTTTTCCTATGAAGTTTATTATGTATGGGGGCTGGGGAGATAGCTCAATGGCTTAAGTGCCTGCACAAGGTCTTGAGTTAAATCCCCAGTACAAAACAAAACAAAAATGTTCACTTATGTAGGGGATAAAGCAACAATATGTTTTAAAGCTCTAAGTCAGACTTTCTATAATTTTTAATAATTCAGTTTTCATTGTTTTTTATTTTCTTTGTTGCTTTACATCAGCAAATTTGTAAATCCAGTATTTGTGGAAAACAACACATATAGGAATTATATGATTATTTGACAAAATGAGCTGCTGAGAAGATATATTTCATAGTTCTTATATTTTTAATTAAAAATTAATTCAATTTCCACTTCTAAGGAAGCAAGTGGAGGTGATTTCATTAGGTTCCCTTCAAGAAAGTTGATGGTTAGCAAGAAAAAACTATGTGTACCTCGGGAACTGATAAATATTGATCATGTTTCAGATAACATAAGGGAACTACATATCTTATGGAACAACTTACTGGTTACTTTCTGTCATGAAAAGTACGGTATTTGAAAAGTAAATTTCCATAATTTTGTCTTCTACCAGACCCCTCTCATAGTATTTCCTTTCTATAAGCTTGTATGACCACAAATAATATTTCTAAGCATTAGTTTACATGTAGGGTCATCTTAAGGGTCACATAAAGAGATTGAAGTACAGTTCCATTTTCAGAGGGTTTAAACAGAAAAAATATACAAATTGAATAACTCAAATATTGAGAATGGGAGTAAGGGAGTAAGAGAATGGAAGTAAGTTAAAGGCTTTGATTTTGTGGTAGCAAACAGAAACACAAAATGAAACCCAAGATTTACAGCCAGATTTATGTATGTCTATAGACATACATGATCAGATCATTCCAAAAATATCAGGCCCTGATGTCTGGTAGTTTAGGGCTTATATGGGATAAGCAGTGAGGAAGTACAGAGGCAGAATGGCTTCTCTACTGGGGATTGGCTCTTGCAATGTGCATAACAGTGATCAGCCATTTCTAAGAAACAAAAGTAGCAAAAAATGTGTCATGATTTGGGATTCTTTGCAAGGGAAACAATATAATACAAGACACATTTTATAATATTTTATAATGAATCACCCCAAAATTATATACAACAAGTGCAGGAAACCTATCTATACACTAAACACTAATGAATCCAGCTGAGGGATTCAAAACAATGCCCCCACAGTCCAACTGGAGGCCTAGAGCCCACACCAAGGTCTCGTGCAGGCCTGATTCATGGATCTACGCTGGAAAGGCTCAAAGGTCAGTGGTGGAAGCTAGTCTGTGCCAGTGAGATGAAGGATTTGTGCTAGCATGCTGAGGGATCTGAATTGGAGCTAGGAAGCAATGCTTAGCCATCCTCAGCAACAGTGAGTTTCTGAGCCCCTCCAGTGATGAGCAGCACTGAGTTCCCAACAGAAAAGCCAATGTGAGAAGCTGAACAGTGCACCACCTTCTCTTCTTGAGCCAGGAAGCGATGTTCAATGTGAGGACCCAAGCTGCTACAAAGTTTATTGGGAAATCCAGCATTACAAGGTCCTCCAGCAGTACAACCTAAGAGAACCAGCAGCTTCCAACAGCTCTAACATCCTCTCCAAATGGCATCCCTAACAGCATTCCAGCAGCTTCTCCTGTTCTGCCTTTTATGCTGCTGGCAACAATCCTCAGATGGGCCTCCCAGACCCAGCACCAAGCTAGCTTAATTCAGCTGGGTGTAGTAAGTTGACCACCACTTAGAAATCCACTACAAACTGTAACAAGAACTATTACCTGGGCAACTAACTGAAGTACACTGGTGGGGGAGGAGCATCATTTGATATAATTTTAGTTAGATTTGAGTTGGGTACTTCATTGGTGTGGAGAGATGGAGAGATACTACTAGTTGTCTTCCTGTACTCTGTAGATAAGATTTCTGAAGTAAGAGAAAGGTATTTTGACAGGCTGGAGAGAGCGCTTTCTGAATTTACAGATGGGGTCAACATTTGGCTTCATGAACTCCCAAATGAGCAAACACCAGAGAAACAGAAGGAATGGCGAGGTGATCACACTCCTTCCCGTGATGACGGGCTACTCCCAGTGCACCTTAGAGCAAGAAAGCACCTGGGCCTGAAGAGCAAAGCCCAGGAGACTGTCAGTGTTATCAAACAGACTTAAGTATTCTTATATTTTTTGCTGCAAGATTGCACCTATGGTGGTGAGTGTTAAGGAAGTAAATGTTAAGAAAATACTAAAGTTTCCACAGCTACTATGCCTTTGTTGGCCTGGGCTTGCATTTTACTAAAGTGCACGTGGGGTGCTACTTCACTGTCCTGCACTTCATGAACAGTGTAAGAAGTGCACCATCAAGTGTGTTGTGTAATGTAATTTGTATAGAGTAACCTGAGTGATTCTGTAGGACCAAGGCGAGCGGCTCACTCTCTTTACTTTCCTTTAAACTATTTTACCATTTAGAATATTTTTTTATTTTGAAGAAAGAAAAAAGAACAATAAAAATGATGCAGTATTTCAAAACAAGATGATAGGAAATTAGTGGTTATCATATTGCATATCGCTATGTTCAGAGTAGTTACTCAGGTTATCAGGCAAGCAAAAGTGATCAAACAATATAAGCACTAACTGTTCCTTTCAATAAACTGATAGATATTAGTAGTACAATTATCTTAGCTATCTTATGTATGTATACATATCCCTTTCCCCTTCCATCTTTTCTCTTTTCCCTATCCTAGTTCTTTCCTTTTCAGCAGTTTCTTTCTTTTTCGCTGAATCTATTGTACCTTTTGGATCTTATTTGCTCTTTCAATTTCTTATACTAGGGAGACAATACAATGTTTACACATGCAACTCTGATTTATTTAACTTGTGAATACAGTCTCTAGTTGCATCCATTTGCCCATAAAAGCTTTGAGTTTATCTTTCTTTATTGCTGAGTAATACTCCATTGTATGAAAGTATCACATCTTTTTTATCCACTCCTCAGTTGATGGACATTTGGGTTCTTTCCAAGATTCAGCAATTATAAATTGTGCTACTATAAACATGACTGCACATATATTGCTATGTATGATGTTTTAATTTCTTATGGGAAAATACACCAAAGGGGAATAGCTGAGTGGAACGGGACCGCTAATCTTAAAACAAGGATGTCTACTATCACCACTCTTTTCAATATAGTTCTGGAAACATTAGCCATAGCAATTAGACAAGAGAGAGAAATTGAAGGAATAAGGATAGGAAAGCAAGAAGTTCAATTATCATTATTTGCAGATGACATGATACTCTAAGTAGAAGACCCTCAAAACTCCATCAAAAGACTGCTAGAATTAATAAGCAAGTTCAGTAGTGTAGCTGGATACAAAGTCAGCACTCAAAAATTAATAAAACCATTGTTTTTTCTTGTATTTAGTACAAGGTATACAGGGTCTCACTAAGCAGACTGGACTTGTAGTGATCCTCCTGTTTCCAGCCTCTCAAGTGCTGGCATGGTGTGCACTGCCACGTCCAGCCTCAATCACCAGCTCAGCACGCCCTGGGGGCGGGGCCCAGCATGGCAAGCCTGGGGTCATACCCTGGCTACTGTGCTCTGCCTAAGCAAGTGCTTTAGTCTGCTGAGCTATCTGGCTGGCCCATAAAACAACCATTGTTAATTAGCTATTCCTGTTTTGAAAATCTGTAATATATATATATTGTTGTATATTACCCTGTTTATGTCTTTTTTCTATTTGTTTTTGCTTCAGGTTTTACTCTTCAAAATAAAATTTTAAAAAATCCATAGCCTTCTTGTACACAAATGTAAACTCACTGAGAGAAAAATTAGGGAATCACATCCTTCATGATAGCATTTAAAAAAATGAAATACTTAGGAATCAATCTAAAAAAGGAAGTAATAGATCTATGCATTGATAGCCAGGTGTACAGGCTGAAACGTGTAATCCTAGCT